CATCCTTTGGTCTTGTGCTGAGCATCGTGGAGTCAGATCTGAGCTGTGCGATTCCCTTCGGGCTCGAGGTAGACAACCTAATGTTCCAGTTCGGGATATTTTGGCTAGACGTGATCTGGAGTTTATGAAACTCATATATGTTTACTTTAAGAATACTAACCTTAGATTGTAAGTTTTATTAACCTTGTGTTTAGTTTGTGTATTGTGCGTGTAGTTTTTTTTAATGTTTGTTTTCAAGATGAATAGAAATTAAATTATTAAATATTTTTAATTAATTATTATTTTAATTAAATATTTGTATCGAAAACCACATTTCAAACCTCCCTCTCCCTTTTCCCATCCAAAAAAAATTGTAAATCTCCACTAACCTCGAGACAACCGCGAGTATCCGGTCCAGCTCCTTTAACTTATATATACACGGAACCGAATTTTGTTCATTTAAATCAAAACTATAAATGTTCATTCTATAAACATACGAATAATTCAAAATAAATTAAAAACATATTTGCAACAAAAATATATATGTTTGAATTAAAGTCAGAAGCATGTTTATTTCAACAATATAAGATTTGGGTAAACGATTTTTAGCGTGCCCTGTCTTTTTTCCTTCTTGTTTACATTCGGAAAAAAAATTGCCCCAGCTTTACCAATCAACTATGAAAATGGCCCGCAACAAAACCAAAATCATGGATCCGGAAACCCACCTAGGTAAGTGTCTGAACAAAGTTCAAGCTCGATAAAACCGGAGGAACCCCAGAGTATCGACGTCACTCTGTCGTTTCTGATGCCGATCCCTGTATCATCCTCCTTCACAACTTCACAAGAAAAACGAAAATCCGAAATGGATTTTGAATCTTTTCCGGATCCTCCAACACCGAACGTAGAAAGAGGACCAGCGTTAGAAACGACAAAGTGACGCTAATATCACAAAGTTTCACTGGTTTTACTGAACTGGAATCTCCAGACACTCATCCCGACGGGTCCCCGCATCTCGGACCAGGACTCCAACATCCACAGGCCACCCTTAATCGCACCCGAAAAAGAGCAGGAGTTTAGATGCCCTGTCTGCAGATCGTTTTTTCGTCTCATTGCAATCCATTTTTTTTTTGCTTTATCCTACATTCGAATGCTAATATAATTTAAAATTAAGTATGTATCTTTCAAACATTTGAAGCATGTTCAAAATAAAAATATTTATTTTTGTTCGCATAGTTTTCAAATCAAACAAAAATATTCACGTTTATTTTCAACACGAATATTTTTAAAATAAACGTTACATTATTTTTATTTGGAACATTAATGTCACATGACTTCAAACATGGAATACGTTTGAAATAAACCTTTTTTATTTTTGTGGCCAGAACAAACTGAGTTTACGTTTAAATTTACCTAAAATATTTTCGTTTCAACAATAAATTTTTCTGCGTGATAGAGGTAACTCTAAGACCACTGGGTCCCGAAGAAAATCATTATTATTTTTGGCTCACTTAGTACCAGAACAACGGTCCCAAGCACTCCCAAGCTATTTCACTCACCCCTGCATGTTCTGCATGAATCCACACACCCCTGATGTTATCTGTCAAACTTTCATAGCGAATCAAAACAAACATAGTGTAGTAATAGAATTTCAACTAGAATAGGGTACTTTAATCGTTTGCTTGGGACCAATAGGCTACTAAAGTGGTGAGCCAATTTAAAATCGTTAGTTTTGTATTGATTGTCGGTACTACCAACTACAATACTTTTAAATTGTCCGTTAAATGCTTGTTCGATGAACAACTTGCGAGTGTTATGTCTGTTTGTCTGTGGTTGAGTGATTGGTATTTTTGTTTTTTTATTTTTATTAAAGACCATCGCTTGAGAATAATAGATCGTTGCAGTATCCTTGTTCTCGAGAAAATCTATGTGTAAAATATCTTGCTTCATTTCGCATATGGAATATCGCTTCTGTAGGCGCGTTCTGCCTTCGCTCGGGACGTCCCGCATAAACGCAAACCATCACTTGACCTTACCGATAATGGTTATAAATTGTTTATAATCCCTCCTAAACTTTAACTGAAATGGTTTTGGAACCTTACATGAACGTTTGTGTGATAACGTTTTAACCTTATGTATTATGGTTTTTACACACAAAAAATTATCATTCATAATATTAAAAAAACCGTTGGTAGAAATAAAAGTTTGCATTGGTTCTTTTTGGTAGAAAGTACTTAACTTTCAACACGAAAGTCAGCCAACTGTCAAATCAAAAGTTTAACATATTATTAATTTTAAAAGTTGAAACTTTCAAATCGAATTGTAGAACTGTCAAACTGAAAACCTAATCCTTTTAGATTGACGTTGGAAAAGTGTTGCTTCAAAACACGGGTATTTCTTCGCAATTTGTATAAGTTTTCATCTCAATTACAAATTATTTTTAAATTAATTGCTTTTATGATGCATGCAGAAAATAATAAATATTTATTTTTATGTAAGTAAATTCTTAATATACATAATTTTATGTTTAATTAACATTTTGTTGAATGTTGTTTGGAAAAAATCTAACTCAGTATCGGAACAGATATTAGTCTTCGGCGGATAATGAAGGTTTCCTCCTAAATACGGGGTTCCAACGTGCAGCGGACTTGGTCGAACGAAAGTGCATCTTGCTTTCGTTGCTGGCCGACAATAAGCACCAAGCCGGGTATGGATCGGGCGATCGGGCGTCTGAATTTTACCAGTAGGAAAGAACGGAGTCTCTAATCCCTATTGATAGCCACCAAAAACGTCTCGGCTGTGTGCTCCAACGTCCCAAGATGCTTTCGATCTGAAAAATTATCAATTTTATTTTCAAAATCATCCTCGAAATATGTAGACAGTAGTAGCAATCTTACATTCTGCGAAAAACTCAATCTTTTTCACTGCCTCCGGTACCGGAATCGGTTCCTCCGGTTTGGAATTTCGGAAGTGTACGATGCACAATTGATTTTCTGCGGTCTAGTATCTTACCTTATATGCCCTATTAGATTTTTGGACAATGACAATGAGCTTTTCAGGAGGTCATTTTTGTTGGGATGGCAACCACTGCTCGGTTTGCCCCCACCAAACTACGGCACTGCGTAGAGGAAAAACGTCACTTTGTTTACTTTTGCTTTTCTCATTCCAAACACTTTTCTCGCAGAATACACACGTTGTTATTTGTAACCTAAAAAGTAGTTCACGTTTCTTTCTCCTGGTCCATCCGAAATCCCATTAATTTTGACATTTGTACAATTTTTGTTTTAAAAATGTGAACTTTTAAAATTACGTGTCGATGCCAAATAAAAACTTTCAAATCATAGAAAATAAATTCACTTGGAATATTTTCGTAGTTGAAACTACCAAATTCGAGAAACTTTTAATTTGAATTGGTAACATTTTTATAGATACCATTTTTGTTTTTTGTGTGTAGGAAGCGGACCTTACAAATAATGAGTCGTTAAGAACCATTACCATTTCAAATTCTTGTTTTCTCCATACATTTTCGGAAAGACAACTATATTAGAACGTTTTTACTTATGGTTTGAGAACATTAATCATTATGGTTATGGTAGTCAGTAAGGTCCATTAATCGTTTTGTATTATCGCTCAACTTTACGTGGAATATATCGCGAACTGATAATTATTAATTTACAGGCAACCAATTCGCGATATATTCCACATAAAGTTGATCGATGTTACAAAACCATTCATGGGCCTTACTGACTACCATAACCATAACCATTGCCCGTTGCGACCGTCGCCAAATGAGAATTTAACACAAGCGCGACTATATTTTACGGGGGCGACCCCGGCGTATTGGTTATCATCCATATCTCTCACGCCAAAGTCACGAGTTCAAATCTCACCCCCAGACAAGTCACGAATGACCCAAATGCGTTAAAATGACTAAAAAAAAAAAACAACATTATTTTACACTTGTTAAACTGATTGATACCCAGGATTTCGCGTAACTTTTAATCTGTTTAGAGCAACCGTAACGGTACGCTGCTAAACTCATTTTAGCAGCCCTCATCATAGCGGAGCTACCGTATCGGGGGTTGCCATACGAGTAACTAAAATAGCAGTCGGCTTCTCGGTGAGAAGCGCGCTACCAAATTTAGCAGCGCGGGAGAAAGGTACGGACAAAGGTGCGAGTAAATTGATAACCACGATAGCAGCGACCGGTGTGGAGAAGAGTGACTAAACTAAAATGAGAGCGCTGTGCGCTGTTAAAATAGTCGCGCAAATGACAACGACCGTTACGGTTGCTCTTAGAACTGGATTTAGAATAGAAATCTTTTGAGTGCGTGAAGGATTTTCCTTCGGTGCAACAGCACCGCCACACCAGCTGCGGTAAAACGTGGTTGCGGTGTAATACACGAATACCCATCAGTTGTATTTTTTGACGGTAACTCTCGCGTCACTTTTCAAATAGACCAATCTAACAAATGTAAGCAAATGGAGTTACTCGATAGAACAAAACGTCCAATGTAACACTCATTGATTATGTCCTTGAAAAATCGACCAATTTAACATGTCGTTGACATGTTACTTGACTTGTAAAAACGTCCTGTGTTTTTTTTCTCTGTTTTATAGCATGAAATTCAAAGTAAAATTGTGATTTCACAGTTTCTACTGAATTTTCAACGTTATTATTCACTGCCTGCAGTAAAAATAGTAAAGAGTTTTTTGGCGTTTGATCGGCGCACACTACTGCACTATTTAAATCAAACGATTGCGAGGAAAAGGGAAACAGATTAGAGGGAAAACAAACCATCCATTCATCCATGTGAGCTAGTTAGAGAAAGACGATTAAACGTCAAAAAGGTCTATTGCATAATGCATTGTTTCTAAACAGTTAAAATAATAATCTGTCGAACTTCAACTTCGATTTTCTCTAAATGGGGGATATGTTACATTGGTCAATTTGAAAAGTGACGCGAGAACTGTTGTCAAGAAATCAAAATAAACTTCACTATTTTGCTAAGGTGTGCTAGAGTAAAAAGTGTTCAATTTTTTCGATTTATTCAAGGGATCTATTTCTTCCGATTTCGATGGAAATCACTCTTAGCCCAGAACCTGGGCTCCCAAAAGCGGAGGATCCTTCCCAAAACGAAGAGTCTGTTCCTAATTCTTCGGAAGCAGATCGGAAAGAGATCGATGATTATGTCGCAGAGCTCGGTGTCAAATACGAGCAAAAATCACATCTCCGGTCCCAAAATGTAGCGCCGGATCGTCCTCCGGAATCGTTTTTCACCAAATGCGATTCTAGTTTGAAGAAAAACACTGCGTTTGTGAAGAAATTGAAACAATTCACTGCCTCTCAGTTGGAGGGATTGCTGAAGGATATGACTGGATTAAATCTCACCAAATACATTTCAGAGGTAAGTGCTGCAATGGTGGAGGCCAAGCTAAAGATGAGCGATGTAGGACCAGCTTTGACGCTGTGTAGTAAATTGCACCAGACGTATGCGGATTTCAGTCCAAGCTTTCTGGAAAATTGGCAGAAGATTTTACACGTCAGAGCAGGAGAAAAGATTGGAAATCCAAGCAAAATGAGAGTGGACTTGAGATTTTATGCCGAGCTCGTGAGCATTGGAATCTTCAGCAATAAAGTTGGGCTGCCATTGTTGGGAGCTTGCTTGACTGCACTTATCTCGCAGGACAAGGATGAGCATAGTAACTTATCGATTATCTTGTCTTTTTGTCGGCACTGTGGAGATGAATATGCTGGGTTGGTTCCTCGGAGATTGCAGGAACTGGCTAAACAATTCGACGTTCCGATTCCTTCTTCAAGTCTTTTGAATTCCGATAAACAACAGAATTTAAGGAATTTACTCAAAGACTATTACCAAACAGTATGCGATCATTTAAAAAATGAGCATAAGCAGCTACAGTATGCGGAAAAATCCAGGCGTAGAATGCTGGAGTCGAAAGGAGAAGTTCCTAATGACAAGAAAGAGCAAATTGAAATGCTGCAAAATAACTACGACAAACTGCTGTCGTCAACGCAAGCCATGGCAGACTTACTGAACGAAAACTTGCCGGAACTTACTGTGGAAATTGAAACCTGCCCCTCTGAAGGAAACGTGATTGATAACATTGGAGATGAACAATTTGCTAATCTGGATCCATGGGGCGACGAAGATACTCGAAATTTCTATGTCAATCTTCCCGATCTGCGTCAGTTTCTTCCAAATTACTGTGGAAAGAAAGAAGAAGTAATCCCTGATGAGCCGGTCATGACAGAGGAGGTGCTTGATATGGAAGTTGAACAGGAACCAGATTGTGAGGAAGTTGTAGATCCTCCCTCTGAAATCTCCGAAACAGCAGAAGTTGAAGAAGAGCCTACAACGGCACCGAGTACCCCTCATCATCATGCAAATCGGGAGCATTTCGAAGCGTTTATAGCAAATTTGCAAAATTGTGTCAATACCGAACTGATCGATTCGGCAGCGATTGAGTTTTTACTAAATTTAAATACGAAAAACAACAGGAAGAGAATTGTGAAAATTTTATTTGGAGTGCAGCGGACGCGACTAGATTTGCTGCCGATGTATGCTCGATTTGCAGCTATTATCAACTTGGTTTCTGCAGATGTTGCCGTCGATCTGTGTCAGATGTTGAGAGTCGACTTCAAATACCAGATCAAGAAAAAGGATCAAATAAATATCGAAACAAAAATCAAGGTGGTGAGATATATTGGTGAGCTGGTTAAGTTTGGACTTTATAACAAAATCGAAGCACTGTTTTGCTTGAAATGTTTGCTGCACAACTTTCAGCATCACCACATTGAAATGACGTGCGCTTTTCTGGAGGTATGCGGAGTGTATCTTTACAATTCAAAGTATGTATGTCTTAGAAGGTATCGTAGTGCATCTAACCAAAACTTGTGTTTTGTTTTGTTACAGGGACAGTCGTCTTCGCACTAACGTGTATCTCGAGCAAATGATGCGTTTAAAGACTAACACTACGATGGATAGTCGCCACGCACAGCAGGTTGAAACTGCTTACTACTTGGTGAAACAACCAGAAGGAATGCGCATTCAAAGAAAAGTGCGCCCTCTATTCCATACGTATATCCGCCACTTGATCTTTGAGGAACTGAACAAATCAAATGTGGATAAAATGATTAAGCTGCTGCGACGCTTGAATTGGGAAGATCGCGATACACACGACTACGCGGTCAAGTGTCTTTCTAAGGCGTACAGTATTCGATACCATTTGATACGAAGTTTGGCTGACTTGGTTTCCGGATTGAGCTCGTATCAGGAGAAAGCTGTCGTCAAAGTGATTGATGCTGTATTCGAAGACATTCGTGCTGGACTGGAAATTCACGATACAAAACATGCCCAGCGTAGAATAGCGATGGCCAAGTATCTGGGTGAACTGTACAACTACCGTCTAGTAGAATCGAAAAATGTACTGAATACGCTCTACTCTATGATATCCCTGGGGGTTAGCTTCAGTCATGAAGTGCCCTCGGAAGTAGACCCTCCGGCCAGTTTGTTCCGACTGAAATTGGTGTGTGTCCTACTCGACACATGTGGGCAGTACTTTACTAGTGCGACCAGTCGTAAAGGATTGGACTACTTCTTAGTATTCTTCCAAAACTACTATTGGTTCAAGAAATCGGATCCCATTTTTACCAGCGAATCAAACAAGGACCTCTTCCCTATCCTGATAGATCACATGTATAAGGTAAGATCGACTTGATCCCTAGGGTTGGTAGCGTAATTAACTTTTGAGCAAATAGACAAGCGATATCGATTTTGGAAGTCTGCTATGCCAAAACTCTCTGGGGGTTAAGAATTTGGGCTTAATAGGAGTTTAGTTTAGTTTTCTTTACTATTGAGACTTTTAGTCATGCGCTAATTTCAGATATCGTGAAGCACCGAAGTCCGGACACGCTCACAGTGTGATGTCACAGGACATGTTTTTTTTTAATTAATAGGACGTTGACTCTACTCACTGAAAATGTTTTTCTGAAGAGTGCGCTAGTAGCGCAAAGGAGGTAAAACATCGATTTAGTGCTATCCATCACTACGCAGTATCAAATTCGTTTGTATTCATTTCAATCATGCGACTGACTAGACTGACCCACATTTATATGGGGAAATTTTTTTTTTATCATTTTTTCAACGGGTCAACCCCTAGATTTGTGCCATTAGGTGAAAAAACCACTCTGAAAATTTAAATTCATGCGAGCTGGCGCTTTTGATTTAAAATTAAAATTTATATGGGATATTCGTTGAAAGATATGGAGACATAATATTCCTTAACTCTTTCGTGCATAGAACTGGTTCAGCAAACTCGAATAAACTCAGAATTTCAGCACACGTAGCTTAAACTATAAGAAACAACTTTGCTGGAGACAGCATCACGATTCAAGTTAGTATTATGGAGATATCAATTAATTGTGTGCATTCTGTTTGTTGGTGCCTTTTCCATCCAACCCTCAACATCGAAAGGGTTGGGGGGGTTAAAGTCTCTGGTTGAACATATCTTTTTCCTGGGGTGAAAATGGGGTCTATCCAATATCCTGTCCTTCCTGGTGGCTTACGGGAATGTTTCGGCCATCGTTGGTTACACAAAACACGGGTTTTACATTACACTGACACTTCAGAATAAAACTACTTTATTTTACGCTCGTAGGGCCCTAGAATCCGTTTGCCATACCAGGCAGATTGAAACTATTTATCTAATTTCCTACATCTACCCGAGCACCCCGTAATCATGAATCCATGACGCCACCGATCTCTCCAAACCGATCGATGATGTGTATTTTCTTAAGTGTTGTTGTCCGTCGCAGAGAGTAGAAAGTTTGTCTACCCAGGGTTGTATCCTTGGGTGGGTGGTATTCACGCTGCTCCCGAACACTTCTTGTATATTGGAACAAAATACAGGCAGCTTAAACAACGTATCAACTAGATTACCACTAAAAATAAAAGTTCATATTTTCCACAGGCCAACATCCAGACGCGTGTCTTTTGGTGCGAAACCACTCTCTGAATTTTTCAGCTCCTTTTGACGTTACGTTGGCTGGCGCTTTTGGTTTGAATAGAGGAATTAATAGCGAATTCGTTCATTATCGGGGTAGGAACCAGTACCAACCCAGTGCGAAACCGAACTTTTTGTCAGTGCGAACCTCAACCTAAGCTAGGTTTTAAAAACAAACGACTAAACTGACGTTTTTCAGAAAACAAGCCGACCCAATCTTGATACCCGATCCAGGTTGGAACTGAATAATAAACGAATTCGCTATAAGATGAAGAAGAATATATTTTAAAAAATCTATATTTTTGTCATACACCACCGTGCACCGCCGTAATTGAGTAATAGTGTCCACCATCAAATCCCACAGATGTTGCCCCGCCAGTGGTGGATGCACCAGTTTTTCGATATCGAGATTTTCGAAAAATCGTCGATTTGTCTTCAAACCTTGCTTCTAGCAGTGAGAAAATTTCTACATTTTGTTCTTTTTATGCCATTTGCTGAGTTAAATTTAACCTAAGAGGAAGAGGAGACAACTGGCTTCTTACTCTTTTATCTCTATCTCTATCTATCTCTATCGCTATCTTGCGTACTTCAAATCGGCCAATCACGAGCTGGTTCGCGTTTAGCAGAAAGGTGGTTCGTTTTCACCCCCGTATTGTCTCCTTTTCCTATTAGAATTTAACTCGTGGTTAAAAGTGACATTTCGAAAGTTATTTTCTATGTTCGAAAATCCCCGTGCTGTCGATTGACCGGTTTTCGAGCCACGGTTTTTAAAAATTTAACTTCTTGTCTGTCAGAAATAACCATGTTTAGATAAAAAAAGAAATAACCATGCTGTCAAATTTTAACCAAAAGTTCAAAAAAAATCGCCAAATGGTTCAGAGCCTTAGGCTATGTTCCATTAGGAAAATTTTCACTTAGATTTGACATTTCAAAAATAAATTAAGATGCTCGAAAATCCCTCTGTTGTTGATCGGCCGATTTTCAAGAAAGCGTCTGTAAAAATTGATTCCATTTCTGTCAGAAATAAGTCTGCTAGAATAGCAGGTTTATTTGAAAAATTTCCATCTGTCAAATTTAAGTAAATATTCACCAAATGGAACACAGCCTTAGTAATGGTGACATTATGTAGAAATAATGTATCGGGCAAGTTGCACCATTATTGATATTTTTAATTAAAAGTGAATTTCGCCATACAAGGCTGCTCGATATGTGGTGGTGAGTGCTATCAGAAGGACCATAAAACACCTAATTCTACGCATTCTGTTGAAAATTTAACTAAGAAGTAAACAAATATTGTTGCTGAAAGGTTGTGCTAATTACGCCAAATGCCGCTACCCCGAAAGTCACTTCCCCGACGTAATTACCCCGAATGATCATTTCCCCGAATGTCTTCTGCTTTCTTTTGATTATTAAGCAGTATGATTCGACATGGATCCAATCGACTTTGTTCATTTGCCAACTTGTCACTCCTTAAGAGGAAGAAGTGACAATTAGCTTCTTACGCTTTTATTTCTATCTCTATCTATATCTTTATCTATCTCTATCTTACGCACATGAAATCGGCCAATCAGGAGCTGGTTCACGTTTGAGAGAAAAGTGGTTCATTTTCGCCCCTGTATTGTCACCTCTTCTCTTAGGTCACTCCCAACATAGTTTACCCATTTTTTAGTTTTGACCGATCTGGGTGGATTCTATACAAATTTGGGTAGTTTTGAAATAGCGTGTAGTGAGGAAACGGAAACGGTAGTAGCAAGCTGATGAAGTCAGCTGTTAAATAGTTAGGGGGCCCTACAAAGCTGCATTACCACCAGCGTTGGCGAAGGGATTCAAGGCTGGACTCCGAGAAAGGTACCAATCAATGAGCATGGCTCTCAAGAATTCTGGGAAAGAAATTACGGGATATTTCATCAATACCATTTCACTACAGGAAAAACCGTTGCCAAGTGAAAAAACAGCAACGGGTGAGTTTGGAGCAATAACGGGTATTTCCCATTACAAAAGAGGATTACGACTCAGTCCAAGTGCCGGAAATGCTACAAGATTGGCCACATAGCCAAGTTCTGTCCTGAAAATCAAGGTACTACCTTGGAAGGTAGCAAGAAAGCCGATGCATTTATACCACTGTGTGGTGTCGACGATTCAAGGTAAAGAGAAGAACTATTGGTAAATACTTAGATTCAGGAGCTGCCAGACACATGACTAGGAATCTGGAACTCCTGAAGGTCGTGCGTAGTGGCAACGGTATAGTTGTAACTACCAACAAGGAGCGATGAAAATCAAAGCATGTGGAACGGCCACTCTGTATCCAGTGTACCAGGATCATGAATATAGAATTCCTGATCACGATGTGCAGTTCATAGCGGATCTATCGACACATCTTTTGTCGGTGGTTCAAACTGTGAAGAATTGCTTCAAGGTGGTGTTCCAATTAAGTGGAATCTCAAGGGAAGCTTGTTGCAACCGGTATTATTGAAAACGATCTGTTCAAGATAGTGCAGTTGAAAGTGGCAGGTTAAGCAATGTTGACTTCTGTCGGTGTATCTCTTGAAACTTGGCACAAGCGGATGGGACATCTTAACTACAACAGAAGAATCTTGCCAACAGTGTGCAGCAAATCTTCGGTAAAAACCACAACGATTGTACCATATATCCAATGTGGAAGCAAACCCGTCTTCCGTTTAGTAAGAGTGGATCGAGAGCAGAATAATTATTGGAAGTAATCCATAAACGTAGCGGGGTCCAAAGAAGTTCCATCACCGTTAGGAAGCCGTTATTACGTGTCGTTCATTCATGACTGGTTGCGTACGATGTTCGTGTACCTCTTGAAGTCGAAATCTGAAGATGAGGTTCTCGGTCGTGGAGGCACCGACATGAATGACCATAGAAAAAACAATAAAATTTCTGACCAAAGCACACTACTGACATCTGACTCCGTGTTCGCGAGAAATATTTAGCTAAACCATGTACCCACCACCTGCAAAACTTAGGTTCGTGTTTGATCTATTTTGGACAAATTATTTTTATCTAGATCAAAAATCCTATGGTTTTGACAGTTCGGATCACTGCACATTTAAATCGGTCGTTTACGATTTTCGGACATACGTAAGAATTAAGTGCCGTGTCGGTTTGTCGGTGGTGGACTGCCGCTATTCGCATAAAAGTCCCATGTCCTATGGATTTCCTATCTACATAGGACTGTTATGCAAATAGCGGCAGTGGAGCTGTGTACAGAAGATAAAAATCTTGCGAACGGACAATGGTTATAAATATACCAATAATGGGTTCCAACGTTACTAGAAGCAAGTGGGAACACGGTACCAAACCACCAACGAGTACACACCGGAGCAGAATACACTTGCGGAACGTGCCAATCGCACGATTGCATAACGATCACGTTGCATGTTGTTTGAAGCCAACTTTCCGAAGTCTCTGATAAGGGAAACTGCTGCTGCGGTCTCCCTCGTAAATCGGTCTTCCACTCGCGGTCACGATTTAACTCCTGAAGAGGTCTGGAGCGGCAGGAAGCCCGATATTCCCATGTCAGGGTATTTGGAACGAAGGCGATGGTGCAAGTACCAACAAATAAACGATGTAAGCGGCATCCGAAGTAGAAACCGTGTGTGCTAACTGGATTTGAGGAGGAAACAAAAGGAACCCGTCTATATAATCCTAATTCGATGAGTTTCCTGAAAAACAGAAAAGTATGTGTGCTAATGCATGCGTTTTTCCGGCAGAACAGCAACGAACGATAGTTTTAGTAAATTTCGAAGACGTTCTAGCTCCAAAGAATCTCAAAATTCATGGAAATGATGAAGTTGCCTTCCATTCATTTTGACTAAAAAAATATTTTATGAAATTATGGAATAATAAGATATTATGATGTGTAAGTAACAAGAGAAGATTTTAAAGTTTGTGTTTGACACATAAAACCTGAAAATTTAGCTTTGACAGAGTCACAATGAGCGATTTTCTGCACGGCGTATGAGAACGACCCAAATTTGAGTTTAGTTCACTCATAATCGCCAAAAGTGCAGGAACTCAGCGATGAGTAAAATTTGTCTCATGGTTTCCTGTGGAAAACCTAAAAAGTCTGCCGGAAAATGAGGAAATTGACGAAAATTTTATTCAGTCTCGGAGTAGTACCAATAGACTGAGTGAATCCAATCTTTACTTTTCTCAAATTCGGGAATTTTTCCCTGGAAAATCCTGGAAAAACCTGAGGCAAATTAACTCATCGCTGAGTTCCTGCACTTTTGGCGATTATGAGTGAACTAAACTTAAATTTGGGTCGTTCTCTTTCGCCGTGTGATCGCCTTTTCGCAAAGAGTGAAGAGCGAAGAGTGGGTGAGATAAATGACAAAATCGCTTATTCCAACTCTAATGTAGCAAAATTGATTGGTATTATGTGTCAAACACAAACTTCACAATATTTTCTTGATGTTTACACAAACAAAATATTATCATAATATCTTATTGTTCCATAATTTCATAAAACATTTTTTTTGCCAAAATGAATGGAAGGCATCCTGGTTGCATATAAAGAAGAAGAGATCAATGATTCAGAAGAAGTCGAATACCAGAATGACATTCCCACAGATACGCTAGTCGACATGACCGTGCTCCCTTCGCGTCAATCTTAAAATTAAAATCGGTTACAGGTGTACTGGAGCACATACTCCCAGGCAAGTACAATAATTTTCATGTTCAGTGCAAAGCTCTTCCCGTAAATAATTTCCCTTTCGTGAATCATTTTCACTGGGTCGTCGCCTGGCATTCTTAATACGTGTCCAGCCCACCGTAGTCGCTCAATTTTTGCAGCATGGTGTTGTTCCTCCACGAGTATAGTCTAGATCTCGTGGCCGTAGAGAAACACCAGTCTATTCAGCGTCTTGTAGATAGTCAACTTATTCAACCGGAGTGTCCTCCGGAGTGCAAAGTAGGCACGATTCCCTACCATAATTATGCGAAACGATAGCATAATCATAGCCTATTATAGTTTTGTAAATTATCTTTAATGTAAGAATATATTTCCATATTTACGTTTTATGTGATCAATTTGCCCTCGAATTACGGTGTTAAGTTTAGATTTGCGTTTATTCTCTTTATTCCAATGCTACATAAAAACAATATAAATCAGTAAAACTAATTGGAAACATCCGTGAAGCATTTAGTTTCAATGAAGACGCTTGATCCTTCAAAATCAATCTTCTTAAGAACATTACTTTCGATTTAACTATGCAAACAAAAAGAACTCATCCATTCATCAGTTATCGATGTCCTCAATGACCTTAATTTGTAATTAATCAAAGCTAATTTGCTGAATGATCTTTTACCGCAACTCAACAATTGGTGAAAAACAAGCACATACATATTGGCAGAACAACATATAAAATTAAATCAGATGCTCAGAACTAAGCTTTATGATTGAACTTAAAATGATTTTTTTTTTTGCTTTAGCAGAAACAAAAAATAATAAATTTAAAAATACATTAAACGTTTGCTCAGCCTCCATGGCCAAGTCTCAAATCCGACCCTGATCACGTGAACAGAAAAAGTATGGTCTTGGACCCCCCCCCCCCCCCCCTCCACCTATCCTAATCCTTAATTTTTTGGTCAAGCAATCCCAAAAAAGATTCGTTTCGTGTCTAAAACAATGTCACTCCAGAAGATGGGACTCATAGCTGATGGATTTTGTGCTTTCAGGAATGCTTCAAAAATCTTCGACCGAAACTAAAGCTGTTCACGAGCTATGACGCAGCCAAGGAGGCGATAGAGAATCTAGGAAAGAAAATTTATCCCCATTTATATAACGTTCGGGACGAAGACGACCGTAGTCTCAAAACAATCCAAGAGAATGACACCGATAAGGACGACACCGTAACAGAAGACTGCACATCAGAGGCGTTCGGAGACTCTGAAGACGACGACGATAAACCACGAATTAAGCGAGGCGAAGATGAAGATGGTTTGGACGACGATATGGCTGAAGATGATGATGACGACGACGACGACGATTCGAATCAAGAACTTGACCCACTTGTTAAGCCTCCACCGGTGGAGAAGACGATTGAGGATCTGGAATTTGAGAAAGAATTCGAACGAATGGCTACGGAGAGCTTCTTGGAACGGTTGAAGGAACCAGTAAAGCTCAATACCAAGGATATTCCGGTACCGATTACGATGCGAAGCAGTGGTGCAAAAAAGACGTATGAACAGTTGCAGGTAATTTCTAATTATGCGAAATATTAGTTTAGCACCTAAAAAAACTTATTCTTATTCTATTCCAGGACAACAAAGACAAGTCTGACAAGGTTCCGTTCGTACTGATGGTACGAGGCAAAGGCAAACAGCAGCAGTACAAGACATTCGATGCTCCTTCAGACAGCCAGTTAGCAATATATTTGAAGGATCAAGAGCAGAAGATAAAAGAGGAGAATGATAGCGTAAAAAGGTTGACTCTGAATATCACCGAACGGCTGGAAGAAGAAGATTACCAAGAGTCGCTGCTTCAGAGTCAACGCTCGCCTGCAAGCAGTAAAATACGAATACAGAAAGCACCCAAGTTTAAACACCCCAAGGGAGCTCCAGATGTTGATGCAATCTTTCATTGAAGATTGCTTTGTTCGTTCGGATTATTCGATTATCATTATTGCAAGTCAACAAAAATAAACAGCGTAAATAAATTCAAGACTTGACTTAATGATTCTTTAAAATCCGATGTCGTTTTTGAGAGCAAGCAAATTCTGGAATTTTATTGAAACAAATACATAGAGTAACAGTAATCGTTTTCGTACGCGTGGTATGATTCGTGGAAGTAGCGAAAATTTATAATTTATTTATAATTATTGCTAATGTTTCAATATTTTATGGTATTGTTAACAGGGAATGAGCGTCGGAGCCCCATGCATTTTTCTCGATCAATAAACAAAGAGTCGACCTTGAGCTTAAGGTTGTGCTCTAGTTGCGATTTAGTTTTGAGCAGCTGCTGATGCTGTGCTTCCGCTTCTTGTAGCTTACGATGCAACGTGGCAACCGAGTCTTGAATCGTGCAAACTTCTTCCACCAGGCGAAGATGAGCATTATCACTGAAGGGAAGGTAAGATTATTAGTAACAATTTTGGGTGACTGACTGAATAACATGAAATGCTTACCGGCACATTTCGATACCAGGACGATGAGCACGTGCTTCCAATCTGGTATGTGCCACCTTCATCGGATTCGATTTGTCGTTGACAGCTTTGCGCAAAAGCTCAATATGTTTCTCCACATCAAATATTTCTTGTTGGGTCTAGTAATGAAAAAATAAATAAAATAAAATGAGAAATGCACTGCTGCTCATGGCAAGTCCGTCCTATAGCACAAATCAGCAAGCCGAGAAAAACGCGTTTTTAGTTTTCTTCGTTCCATTGCTTCTTTTGTAGTAGTTTGGTTGTTTTTTCAAACTTTTCCAGAACAAAATTGTTGAGTTCATGCAGTATAATGAATCTATGGGTGATTAGCTAACACTTACATTAAAAATAAATCAGTTTTGACAAAAACACAATCTTGCGATGAGCGGCAGTGCATATGTTAAGGTATAAGAGATGAACTAGTCGCAGGCTAAAAATCTCTATAGTAAAACATATATTCTAAGGTCATATATACAATTATTTCATATCACCGTTCATTATCGTTTATCTGTTAGGGACTGTCCATAAAGCACGTAGAAACATTTGGAGGGTAATATGCGATTGTCTGGGGTCCATACAAATATCCAAAAAAATGTATCGACGATTGACTACGTAGGAGGAGGAGTCGGGTCTAAAGCCTATAAAAAACCGTCTGCATAGTTTATGGATGTTAAATCACGCAAAGAGTGACTAATAGGGGAACTGGAGTAAAGATGAACTTTTGCCGTTTTTAAGTGATAGGGGAAATGGCTCTAATGTTGGCCTATGGATCTAAGATTGGGCACATCGCTAAAAGTCTGCTATTTATCAATTTTATCTAGATGAACGCGTCATTATGACGGTACTAATGGATATTTTTAGTCGCTATTGAAAGTTTAGTCGATTGCTGAATTTATGTAGGGGCCCAAATTAGGGACATGTAGGCCGACATCACCTACATTTCCCCTAATTTATCAAAATCATTCATCGCTCGAAACTTACAATCAATACATCTTCTATACGGGGATGGGATCTAATGTTAACTTTTGAATCAAAGATTAAATTATGGAGTGTACCTATCTTTATTATGAAAATACCGCGCTGGATAGTTAAAGGTAATCGATGTAGCATCTTTGAATTTTTGTTTTTCAAAATAGAGGCGCTTCGTTATCTACGTAGCTGTTTTTGAGCGATTTTAAAGACCCTCCCTCTCGCTTTCGTTCATACAAACTTTTAATAATTAGTATGAATCGTACTGCCCATAAATAAAAGCATAACTGTGCCATATGACCCCTTCCCCTGAGCTGCCTACGTAGTTTTTATGGGGTTGTCCATGGTTTTATGGTAGCGGCTGATCGTATAACACGTCGACAGTTTAATGAGGGGGGGGGGGGGGTGGAGAAAGGTTCACGTGTCTTACAAATTTAAAACATAAATTTAAGGATGATTGTGCACGCAAGGAGAGGGAAGAAAAAAATATCCATGAGGACTGTCATCTTCCTCTAAGCTTCTCACGTTTCTTATGCGAGTGTTTTGCCGTAGGCTAATGTCTATTGTCATCCACTATCCTCGAGAAGACCGCGAGTATTCGGTTAATTTCCTATAACTTTAGATTTAAGACATTAATAATGTATAACACCAATTATAACCTGGCTCTGTAAAGTTAATTCGATTGAGGCGGTATTTAACAAAAAAAAAACACAGTGACATGTCTAATGAATTATTTTTATGCAAGCAAAGTAAATGCTATCAACAGAGTTAGGATACACAATTAAAAAAATAAATAAATGGAAGCTTCAAGGTCTCATTAAATTGGTCCTCAGGTTTCTAGATGTAATATCTACGATACACAGGGTGAGCCAGAAATGATAAGTACGCTTTCAACACGCCGCCATTTGTATTCCGTTGAGGAAACATTTCTTAAATTGCTTGAGCCCCTAGTTTAAGATTCAACATACTGTTTCTATGTTCATAACTAGAGCTCTTAACAAGAAAGATTGTTAATTTTAATGATCATATCTTTAATTTTAACAACAGATCAACTTTCGTTCAGCTTGTACTTACTTTGAATGATAAGTTGTCAAATGCGGTCATTCTGTTTGCCATCTCAGCGATGAATTTCATGAAATTATCTCCGTAAATTTCTATGCGATTTTCTCCATTTAGTTAGAGTGTTTCACCGAGTATTCCAGAAATTGACACCACCACCATTTCACCAATCCATGAGCTGATCCCATATTTGAGGGGAGGGGGGGGGGGGTCAACCAGAATCCTTGGCGATATTGCTCAGATAAAACAAAGTTTTTAAATCAGCGCTGCCCAACCCAACGTGCGGCCCGCGGGTCGGACGGTGTCTCTGGATCTCAGCAATGATATCATTCTGGCCCAATTTTTTCATCATAATGAATTTTAGCCCAGAATGAAAAAACGCAGTAGGCTCTGCCCGCGAACGGTTGGTTTTGTTTTCGCTGGCGTTGATTTCATCTGTTTTCCGTTTTTTTTAATTGTACCAAGTCAAAAATATTAGTTTTCGCGTGTGGATAAGCGTATATCACGTTTTAATAAGCTTTTAATGGTATTGTAATTAACGTGAAAACTCTGGGACAATAATTTGTTCCGAGTAGCTGTGTTGCTGTGGTGTCGCGTTGGTCGATTTTTCCATTCGGTTCTTCTTGGTGCTTTGCCCCCCTTCCAAGGTGCTAGCGTTTTGCCTTCCGGAAGATGCACGCAAATGAGGTGTAAGGCAAAAATTCAGTGCAAATGAAAAAACTTTGCATGTGGTTCAATATGTTGTGTTCGGTTGTAAAAACAACGTGGAAGATTTTTTCGATTACCGCGAGTGAACAAACCGGTGCATTTTCGGAGGCAGAATTTGGTGAGATCCATCTGATTATAAATCAATCATAAATGCATATTTCCAAATATTACTAAATACGCGCCAGATTTCGAAACATCACATTTCGAAATCTGGAAGTGTGTTTGCAGTACCATTATTCATATGATAACGGTAGTGTTTACACGCGGGGCTTATTGTATGTGAAAGTAACCTCGGAATGGACGTGAATTACCAGGCATTCTGAAATGGGTTGCTGAATCTGCAGTAGAGCTATCGCTTTCTAACTCCCGGACTAAACTTGCTTTAACTTATTACATCGAGGATTGTTATAAGCAAATTTCTTCCATAATACCACTGCCGGCCAGTGGGGGTTAGATTGAATACACACATACACACACACACATAATGAATTTTAGCCCAGAATGAATGAGAAATTAATAGAATGCAGCTAAAAGACATCCATTGAACAGCAATTTGAAAAAAAGCAGGTTTGGTAGGCCTGTTTGAAATATTACAGTTAACTCCATAATATGTAGCTAAATCATTCTATTAAAACAGTGAACATGCCGCCGATTGATGCTCAGGTAAAAGTTCGTAATAAATAAAACTGCAAATAGTAATAACAATGGCAGTTTTTGATGGCAACAAAATAATGAAATTGATTCCTAGCAAATTAAAAAAGTATTGTATGAATTAATGATATTGTTCATTCGATACATGAGACGTTTCTAAAATATCGTTGCATAATTTTAAAAGCAAATATTGTTGAATCGCTTGTCACAGTTGTTTTTGAAGGTAACAACAAAGATTGTTGAAATGGTTACACGATTTTTGTTGATTCAAAAATAATGAATTATAAGTCGGCAATAATTTTTTTTTATTTGAAATGATGCAGATTTTTGTTGCAATTACAATTATTTTTTTTCTGCGTGTAATTACAATTATTTTCATAATACTGGATAAACACAGCTACTTTGTTCTAAAAAGTTATGAAAAACAGCCAAACTGGTTGCTCCATCACATAAGCAGCAATGGTACAAAGCAAACTTAAAACGCGTTTTTCTCGGCTTACTGATGTGTCCTATGGGACAAACATGCCATGAGCGGCAGTATACGTCATCCCGATTCTGAAAATACCCATAATAAAGGATATTTGAGAGTATTTCCCAGTTTTTCTATAACCAAAAGCCAACATCTTGGATTTGAAGATGGCGTCACACATCAATTTACGGTCTCTATACCTCATCCTGATTCCAAAAATATCCATATTGAAGGGTATTTGTCAGACTTCAAAATGATTTCTCGTTCCTTCGCTATCAATATTGTCAATCAAATTATGTGAGAATTATTTATGAACAGCTATCGCTTTACACAAATATTTTACTTGCCTTTTTGGGAGCACTGCTATTTAATTCTTGCCAATGGTCTGAACCAAGAACGATATACCCGGTTTTGGTTTCGTATAATTGAACCATGCAGAATCCAGATTTCGTGAACCAAAGCCAAAATTCTAACACACCGTTTGTCGGTTTTCAAGCTGCAGTTCTGTACATCAACTCGAAAACCGGCGGTCGGTTTTGATTTAGAACACTGGGTACACAGGAGTATTTTTAAAACCCGAACCAGCACACGATGCGCAAAGGTTGGTTCAGTTGCCCATCACTAGTGAACGTTCCCGTCAAATCGTGTTGGTACCTTTGGAGCACTTATTACTTGCGTCATAAGGAATAAGTGCATGGAAGACACCTAGACGGTTAGACGGGAATTCGCACTTTTCCCACACTTTTTAATAAGTGAAAACGAGCTTATTTGTCCAGTTTGGCAATTAATGGTACGGCTTGGCTAACAACTGACGAAGACGGAAAGCGATTACATCATATCAAGAAGACTGGCAACATTGCCCCCAACAGGGATAGTGGGGATAGTAAAGTGTGGGAACCCAACGTTGAGTATTACACGGTAACATCAAAATACCCAATAATGACTAAAGTAAGCATTTTCGAGGGAAACTGGGACTTTCATTAAATGAGTAAAGTTTTACCCATTTATGAGTAATTACAACTACAAAAACAAGTAGTAAGTATTCATTTTTGGGTAAAAATAACTCATAAATGGGTAGTATTTTCACTCATTTAATGGGTAGTCCCAGTCTCCCTCGAAAATGCTTACTTTGTAGTAATTATTGGGTATTTTGCGGTTACCGTGTACCATATATACCTATTTTTGGGTCCAACGAACTTACTTTTGGGTAAAAAGTGAGTGGGAAATTCCATACGTATTACACACAAGTAGATGAAAACAACA